CCACCTGGGGGGGGACAACGGGGGGGTCCTTGACCCCTCCCCCCACCCTGGAAATCCCTTCCAAAAATTGTCACCGAGCGTCCCCACCCCCGGAGCCCCCCGGGACCCCCAGGAGGGGAGAGATCCCCCCCCCCAAATTTCTCCTCCTTTTTCTCCCCCCCCGCCCCGCGCCGGGAGCTCAGCTCCGCTCGGAGCCGCCGGATTTGGGGCGGAAAAAGTGGAAATGGGAATTTCTGTGTCACCGCCGCCTCCGGTGCCGCCACCCCCCGCTCCCGCCCGCATTTTTGGGGGGAAAAAATCCCCTTTTTATCCCTTTCCCCCCTTCCCGGGGGTTCGCCCCGCCGGGTCCGGCGCGGGGGGGGGAGCATGGAAGGTTCTGGAATTGTGGAAATTCCGGGATCGCAGCTGCGGGGCGGGATCGGGGATTCGGGATCGCCACCCCCGCCCCGATCCCAACATCTGCTGCGGGCCCGTCCCTCTCCCTGCCTTCATCCCGCTGCATTTCCCCAAAATCCCTTGGAAATCCTTTTTTTGGGGGGAATTCTCCGCCCCCCCCAGCTCCACCTGGACGCTCCCAGCGGGATTTTTCTGCTCACCCCATCCCAAAATCCCACCCTCCACCCCAAGTGGGATCCCCCCAAAATCCCACACAGCGCCAGCAGGGATTTTTCCCAATTTTTTTTCCAATTTTTTTCCAACTTTTTCTATCATTTTCCAATTTTTTTTCCCAACTTTTTCCAATGTTTTCCTGTTTTTTTCCCAGCTCTGCCCCCTCTCCCTGCGTGTCCCGGGCCTGGCCCGGAGTTTTTCCTGCCAGGGTGGATCCGGGCGGGGGCTGGAAAATCGGGATCGGCGTCCCCGGCTGGGAAAAAACAGGCGGCTCCCGCTTTTCCACCAATTTTTTATGGCGATTTTTTTTTCCCTCTCTCCCCGGAGCCTCCCCCGGGTCGGGAATTCCCTGGGCGGGGAGGCTCTGGAATGTTCTGGTGCCACCCCAAATCTCTGTCACCTTTGTTGTCCCCAAATCCCCGAGGGAATTCTGCCCCTGGGAGTTTTTGGGGCGATTTCTGGGGTTTTTGGGCTCATCCCGGGGGGTTTTGGTGGATTCTCCCTGGCCTGGCCTGGACAGGGATGGAAATCCCGGATTTTGGGGCTGCCGGGGACCCCAAAGGCAGGAATCTGTGGGGAAAACGGGGAACACCCCAAAACCCAACATTTCCCCCCAAAAAAAGAGAGGGGGAGCGCCCCCAAATCCCCTCCTGCTGCTGTCCCAGCAGGAAAATCCCGGATTTGGCCCCAAAAATGCCCCGTTGGATCACGGGGGTGACCCCAAATGAGGATTTGGGGACATGGGGACACAAGGATTTGGGGACACAGGGATGCAGGGATTGGGGGACATGGGGACACAAGGATTTGGGGACACGGACACAGGGATTTGGGGACACGGGGACACAGGGACATGGGGTTGTGGGGACACGGGGACAGCCAGCACATGCATGGCGGCTCCCTGTGCTGTGGGGTCACGTGTCCCTGTCCCCCCGTGTCCCCAGAATGTGCAGCCACACTCACACCCACACCCCCCAGTGTCCCCCCCCCAGTGTCCCCCCCCCGGTG